GCTAAGGATACGACAGTTAATGCCGGATTCAGAGGCTCTAAACCCGGTCAGCGGAAAAAGCAATTCAAAAGAAATACTCCGGGCCCGTCCAGTTTGGACCGAATACTCGACCGATCATGCTAGATACATGGCACCCCCAAAAAACCAGCCAATCACACCAACAGGGATTGTTGGGTGTTCAAGCAGGCAGGCAAGTTAAATGCCGAAAGCAGATACAAGGTGTTGCATAGCGATAACGAGGAGGAGCCTCGGCCGCCGAACAACAGTAGACAAAAAGGTTTTCCTCCACAAGTGCGGACGGTGAACATGATATACGCAACCCACGTCCCCAAGAGAAAGCGGAAGCGTGTGCTAAGGGACGTATACGCGATGGAGTCGGTCGCGCCAAAGTTCAACCCATGGTCTTCCTGCCCGATCACTTTTGATCGAAGGGACCACCCCACTAGCATGCTTCATGGCGGATTTGTCGCATTGGTTCTAGACCCGAATGGAGGGAGTAGCGCCGAGTCCTCTTTTGGAAAAATCCTATTTGTTGCTTCTTACGGCGATTGTGCAAGGTTTCATACTATGTGCCAGGCAAGCGCTCTGGATGGGCCGGCCCATTTTAGCATAGCGTAGAAGCCCATTTTTTAGCAAGATTTGCTCTTAATTTAGCTCCAGGACGTCATGTGTGGTTTGGCCAACCACATAATGTAAACATCATCCCACTCTCTGTGGACTTTACTAAATAAAGATTTAGGCATTTCCCTCAAAACAAAAAGAAAACAGGTTTTGAAGGTTCTCGGACCGGTTTTTCTTTTTTCCATAGTTTTCCTTAGGTTTTTTTGGTGGTTTCTTTTTTACATTTTCTTTACGTTTTTGTTTATTTTTCCATAATTTCCAAAAAAAATCATGATTTCATAAAATTATTTCTTAAAAAAAACATGTTTCCCAAAAAAAGTTCGCTAGTTTGTAAAAATGTTCGCAATTTAAAAAAAATCAGAGTTTTTCAAACAATATTCCTATTTGTAAAACTTATTCATAGTTCCAAAAAATGTATGCTCTTTTCCAAAAAAATTGGAGATTCAGGAAAAATATTCACATTTTCAAAAAAACAATCACGTTTCCAAAAAATAGTTCGTGTTTTTCAGAATATGTTTGGAACTTTCAAGTAAATTATTGGGATTTCACAACTTGTTCCTATTTCCAAAAATGTTTGTGTTTTTTGAAAAATCTCGATTTACAAAAAATATTCACATTTCAAATATGTTTTGGAAGTTAAAAAATTGTTTGCATTTACAAAGAATATTCATATGTCAAAAAAATTCACAGTTATCAAGAAAGTTTTTTCTTAAATCCGTAAAGTTTCAAATCTCGTCATTGCAGTGTGTTCTTAAATATCCCGCGCTTCATCGCAACTGGCTACCAGCTTGTGTTCAATATGGTGAGGTCGCGACTTCGATCCCCTTGCAAGTGCTTTTCTTTATTTGGATTTCTAGCAGGGGCGTCCAAAGACTCGATATTCAAGGTTAGCATCTTGGCGTCCTCCGCATTGGCAACGATACTCACCCTATTTTCCTTGAGCACAGCCTTCTTCTCCTCGAGCGCCGCCTTCCTCTCTTCGATCATGGCCCTCCTCTCTTCGAGCTTGATATTCTTCACTGTCGTCTCCATCAACTGCTTAAACCTCCCACGCTCTCGACAACAGCGCATGGGCATCCATCTGCTCTCCACCCGCCGTCGTCGCCCGGATGAGCGACGACGAAAAATACACGGAAGCTTGTAAGGCTCCGTGTTAACATGGATGTAAGAAACCCTACTGGCAGGTTTTGCGAGCTGCTTGGCGACATAGTAGTACGGAGGCTTGTAAGGCTCCGACCACGGCGTCGTCTGCACTGTGGGTGCGTCCGCCTAGCGGCATCCTCCATGGCCTCGCCGATCGCCCCGTTCGTCACACCCACCACGCGCATCGCCACCACCAAGCCCACCGACAACCAGGCGCTTCTTCATCCTCTCCTCCTTTGCAGCCTTCGCTTTGACATGGCGATTTTGCTATATCTCCGAGCTGTTCTTTCGGGCAAGCGTGATGCTCGGATCCTCCGGCACCTCCGCCGCCTCCATCTCCGACAGGTTCTCTGACGGTTCCATGCTTTGGTGATGGAGAAGGAGAGGGTGGGAGAAAAGAGCGGGAATTAGGCGGAGAGCGGCTGGGAGTGGAAGAAGAGAGTGCGGGGGTTTTGGCGTGGAAAGAGTGCGGATGCTACAAATCGCGATCTCGGCCTTCCTTTTGGATGGGCCAGGGTGGCGGAGAGCGACGTTTCGCGTGTTCGAACTCCCACAAACCTCCCCATGTTTGTCTCCGGTTTGCGGGAGAAATTGCGTCTGGACCGCTCTGCAGACCAATACAGGTCAGCATCTGATGGCTTCCGTTGTCCGGACAGCGTGGTCCGAACGATTGGGGAAGTTTGTAGGTCGGCGTAGGAGATGCCCTAAATAGCATGCCTGTTTTCTTGCTCTGCTCTGTTTCTTAGGTATTTTTTTTCAGATTTTTCGTTTCTTTTGTTCTCTGGATTGAATTAGTGCTTGGGGAGAATAAATAAGTAACTGTTGGAAGGATGGCAATTTTACCAATGGGTACGGGTACTCGCGGGTATCGTACCCGCATGTGCAGGATATGGGAACACTTTTATGCTCATGGGTAGTACCCATATCCTACTTGTTAAGTCATGGGTAGGGTACGGGTAGCCTTGTACCCGCGGGTATGCGCATACCCTTCCCGTTTGTGAACTAATGTTAATTTGTCATTAATTTGTCGTGTTACTCGTCTAATCCAATTGACATCAGAGTATGTTGTGGTTTCTAAATTTTGATATCGGTTATTTACTTATTTATCTGTTATTGAGCTGAGATTTTTTTTGTCAAATGTGCTATCAATAAGCGTAATATTATAAACAACTTGTATACTATTTACTTTACCTGCTGGGTACCCAATGGGTACGGGTACCCATCAGGTATGGGTATGGGTAAAGTTTCATATCCATGGGTACAGTTATAGATAGAATTTTATACCCACTGACTATACAGATATGTGTATAGTATTGCTCTACCCTACCCATACCTATCCATTCCCATCCTTAGATAAGTGACTCGTCTAGCTAGCTCATGTATGCGTCAGTGGATTGTTTGTTGGGTGTGTCAATTGTCACCATGAATGGAATTGATCATTGGACAAAAAATATGAGACAACCGTCTGTCATGTGCTTGCACCGCCGCCTTCCAGCTTGGAAGCCACCAGATCCGCACGTGCTTGCCGCCGGAGGCCCCGCTAGACCCAGCTCCCCATGAGCGGTGGCCAAGCCCGTGCAGACATCCTCACACTATTAGGGAAAAGCCTAGTGGTAGCGCAGGTGCCCACGCTACCAGAGGTGAAGGCAGGGGGTGCGAGCAGGGGTCAGACACCCCCCATGGCTTCGCCCGCCCTGTGAGTTTCCGTTACCAGGTACTAGTATTAATCTGTACGAATACGTAAAGTGCAGACCACTTGTAGACCTAAAGCTAATGGCCCAGCACGATACCTTTCCAGCCCAAAGCCCAACGTGAGAAAACATCGCTAATTGTACACATAAGAAAGAAAAGAATTATGTGCATCCATAATATTAGGTCGTCAGTTTTCTTCCTATATCTACCCTGTAATTTCGTTCGTGGGCACCGTGGCTTCTAGGTCTGCTGGCACCATATGCCCCTACGCCGCTGTCACTCGGCTCTCGCTGCTTCCGTCGCCGTCTATCGGCTCTCGCTGCTTCCGCCGCTGCGTCACAGGGTAGAGGGCACTCCACTGTCCACTCCAGCGGCGACTGAGTCCATGATGGAGACCATGTTGGTTTGTCTGCTGCACCGACATTATGCATCACAAGTCTATTTCAATGAATCAAGGTACACCACTGGCAAACAATAATCTATTTGAATTAATACAATTCCGTTGAAGGCAGTGGTTTAATTTACTAACTAGATACAGTTGAATTACAATCTAAGAATCTAATTTTACTGCTCGTTTAATGTTTCATCACTGAAGGATGAAGAGAGAATACAACTAAAATATATTCACTTTTCAAGCCCGTTGCTTCTAGCTCAAACTGTCATGGCAAATGCAAATATTTGTACATGATAATTCCAACCCAAGTCCAGTTGATATGCAACTCACAGATACGTAGTCTTCTTTTATATATTACTCCCTCCGTCCTAAAATAAATGTCAACTTTAGTGGGACGGAGAGAGTACCAGATATATGTTGCGATACAATCAAATTATACTTTTGAGACTATATTATTTTGTTGTGTTCTCGAACAATTATTATCTTCCTCTCCCCCCTCATGTCCGAATCCTGGCTCCGCCCCTGCACGCTACTACTAGGGCGCTGCAACTAACGGGGTAGTAGTAGCGCGGGCGTGGGGGACTGATCATCAGCGGCGAGGAGTGGACGTGGGGGAGAGCAAGCACATGCGCTTGCGGGAGCCGCGGGGGCGGGGGAGAGTTGGGGTCAACCGTCTTCCCTCACTCAAACACCTTTTTCTTCATTTATTCTTTCGCTCGTGCTTAATTCTTCGTACATTGTTGGTTGGTTTGGTTCTTCTTCTTTTCATTCATTTGATTTTTGCTTCTTCTTTTTCTGTTTTCTTATTCTACTTCATCTATCCCTGGTTCATTCATTTCTATAGAAAATACTTCACTTCTGTAGATTTTCATTTGCTTTTTGAAATATTTATGAACAAAGCAAACATCCAGTATTAGGTGCACAGTTTACTTGTATATAAGGTGTTTCAGTTGAATATAATAAGAGGCTTAAAACCAGAAATGTGATAAAACTATGAAGACATTTCTTTCGTACATTGTACCAAAAAAGTACTACTCCCTCCGATCCAAATTATATTGCCGATGTTCAGCCGACGAAGTTAGCATGACAGTACTGCTTGCTCAGTTGCCTAGCTTCTTGTCCAGTTGCTGATGATATTACTTCTTTGATTTCACTCATGCCACTTGATGCTGCACCCGACACTACAGGAACAGAAAACAAATGTTCAGAACCGAAGAAAGTGAATCGAAGACCTTTGAAAACATGCTCAAATTCTACTTGACACAGACATACCTTCGTTTTTGGTAGAAAGGCAATTCTTCGCCATTAAGTACACAGTCAATTGCATGGCTTAAATCCTTACACATTGAAAATGAGTAAGAGCACTGGGTAACCTCGACCGTTTGTGCATTTGTTTCACAATATGTACCTTCCAGTGACTGGCACATTGTTTCTGGGTCCTGAATCATCAAACTGGCCGTGATAAAAGAGTTCAAATTGCCTTTGCTCATCCTGGCACAAAGTTTAGATAAAATCAGACACGACGTGATGGACAAAAGCTGAGACACTGGATATGTAAGAATCATGAGTTCATAATCGTGAAAATACGAGCCAATGATGTTACCTTTTTGAACAAGTAGAACTCTGGTGTGCAGACTGCTCGAAATGCTTTGGCAACTTCTTGAGACTGCAAGATCCAGTAGTATATCAAACAAAAGTAAGCAAAGAGTTCGAGAGATCACAGGGACTGCATCAGGAATATAGTGGGCAGACCTCATCATACAAATAAGGAAAAGAGTACTTCAACAATTTTGCCTCCTCAGCCATGTATTCAGGACCATCCTGCAGAATCAAAAGATTAATTTGTGTCCAAATGGGAAAACATGACAAGTTGCATCAACCATATTGGAGTAACACCTATTGACACAGAAGCGTCACAATACATAAGTTCAACAAGCAAAGAACAAAATGAGGCATCTCCCTAACTTTTCTACAACAATCCTTACTAATATGTACAACAACTTGAACTGAGACGGTACATAATACTATGAGTAGGAAATATTTCTAAGACATCATTCTGAAAGGGAAGCTCATGAAAGCTCGCAATCAAACATATCGTCTTAGGGGCCAGCAGCAATAGCTACATGACTAAAACTAAACAAACTAACGAGTACGTTAAGAGACAACAACAACAGGATAGATATATCTATGGTAAAAGTATTATTCATCAAAGATACTAGTTAAGTGATGCATTTTAAATAATATTCAAAGAGTAGACAGTTTGCAAATTGATCAACATGTGCATCATGTAATGAAATTCATCTTTTTAATATGGGTAAGAAACAAAGCACATAAGAAGAAGAATTTTTTGATCACAAAGCTCAACGTAGTTATTTGTTTCTTCTAAAATGGGAGCATGTTTGTTCACTACATTATTCCAGTTAACTATACTCATTTTATTATCTGGATAGATGCTTTGATAATAAATTAAAGTAAAATATGAATTTTTGTAGAAAACCGTTTTAAGTTCTCTGGAAGAAGCGCCCTAGTTAAGAAGTAGTCCCTCCGTCCCATAATGTAAGAAGTTTTTTAACACTAGTGTCATTACAGGACGGAGGGAGTACATAGAAAGGAACTAAAAGGTATTCATGCTTATTGGTTGTAAGTTGTAAAGGCTAACCTTGGGATATGTCACAATTGAATTTGAGGATATGGCGATAGAAGCAAGTCCTTTCTGCATTGCATTGTATCGATGTCAATTTAAGGCTACAAGCACAAATCAAAGAGAACATTTCATCTGGTCTTCCAATGTGCTTACCTCCTTGTAGAATGAAGTGAGCGTTGCAATATCCTTTTTAAGATGTTTTACAAACGGACAGTGATTGCATATGAACATAACCTGAAAGAAAGACAAAGTTGATGAATGAGATGGTTAGTCAGCAAACTATAAGAACGGGCCTGTGTCAAACTCAAACACCTTCATCAACAATTACAATTATGTAAGAGCAGTTGGTTGTACAACTGAGTATTTTTCCTCAAGGGAGGGACACATGCAACAGTTCCTGTAAGAGAAGTTGGTTGAACACCTAAGCCTTTTTGGAGATGTGGGCTTTGGGGTAGAGAACCTCAACATCAGAGACAAATGTTTACTAACCAAGTGGCTGTTCAAACATCTCAATTAAGATGATGTGGCAAGAGTAGCTACGTGACAAATATCTTCCCCGTAAGTCCCTTCCACAAGTTGCGTGAATTGCGAGTGCACATCCACTGCCCTAGTCTAACTGAAGGTAACAAAACTGAGTTCTGAACAGATTAACCAAAAAAAAAAATCATTGACCAGCAAAGCAGGGCTGCCCTCGAAGTCATCCAGTGTCCAGATTTTCCCTGTCAGGGGCTCCGGGAGCTGCATGATCAGCAACAAGAAACCATAAAGAACAGCACAGCAACAACATCAGGCTTTAATCTTGATTAAAACATGGGCTAGAAACTTATGAAAAGCAAGCGCTTAAAGCGATGAAATGACCTCAAACTGGGGGGCGCGGAAGCCCTCGGAGACGCGGGTCGCCTCCAACCTGGCTGCGAGCATCAAGAGACATGGCAAAAGATTTCAAGCAACAATACAGATGAATATAAAAGAGCTTGGAACGAAATTCAGAAAAATTACGGCACTAGGGCTGCTTACCCGCCGACTGCGCTGATTGCGGCGCTCATATCGATGGGCTACTTGTGCGCCTCAGCACCTTGCCCTTGCGAGTGCGATCAGATCCTAGGGCCGCCGTAGGGCGTGGCATATTGGCTGGCCTGGTGGTGTGGGGAAGAGGACGGCCGGGATGTTTCCCCTCTCATACAGTCGGTCGTACTTATCGTGGACTCGCAGACGCCGATCAGGAAGTGTGAAGGATCGATCGGTCCGATCGTGGGACGAGACGGACTGCGGGAGGCCGGACGGACGTGGGGGGCACGTCATGTCTCGCGTTCAGACTGGGCTTTACTGGGCCGGCCCAATAATTTTTCTTGCTTTTTTGGTAGGCTCTTTTCTTTTCACACGATTTTCCGCGGCATAGTTCTCTACACCTCACAATTGAACGGGCAGAAAAGCCACGCAAAATATCCCTAAAAAAATTCCCATTTTTTTAAAAGCTTACCAAAAAGTTTCGGAAATCTTATCTGGCGTCCGTCACCGGCCAGGAGCCAGCGAACGCCCTATCTCACACTTAGGATTCATTTGCATGAGTCCTGGCGCAGGATCCAAGTACCAAGTTACATTGGAATTCTATACCATTTCGATGTAAAAAAAGGCCAGCGATTATTTACCAAAAACTAGAGGCAGCGCACTGGCTAGCATCTTGATCCTCCACTTAGGACACCGTTGTTGGAATCCTGGTCTTCTCCATTTTCTTTTTTTTTCACCAGATGGTATTTTCTCTTGGAAAAATCAACATGGCTATAAATTTTCAAAATAGGTCACATGGCATTTTTTATTTATAATAAGAGATGACATTCTTATTTATTTAAGAGATGGCATTTTTATAGTAAGAGATGACTTTTTATTATTACTAGTAAATGTGACGTGCAATGCACGTTGATATTAGGTAATATATTAATTGCACATGAATATTAGGTATGATATTATTTGAGTATTAATTATGTGATTAGCATTGACATTAATATTTGGTATGATATTAACTGCACACTAAACGTGTTGAGCTCTCACCATTAAAGCAGTCATAGTCGTTCCATTGACCTGATTTGATGGCTGGGATTTGTTGGATCTGCCTCTTTGGATTTTTTTTGTATTGGTGTAAATTAAGAGATTTCCTGTTGGCTAGTCCCTTTGATACACACACTGGACTCAGCTACCGCCTCAGGTGGAAACGGATTGCTCCGAAATCATCAAGCTGCTTAACTCTAGCCTTATAGATCACTCTAGTAATATGTATCAGGTGGCTGGGATTGCCGAGATGTCGAAGGAACGACCTGGACAGTTCCAGAAAAATCTGTGGATCACAAAATAATGCTGCTCATGCTATGGCAGCTCTAGGTTTTAGTCAACAACACACTGCTTGTTGTTTAGCAAACTCCCCATAGGAGATTAGTATTGTCATTTCAAAAGATTGTAAGGCCCAGGTTTATTAAATAAAGTGCTTTTCCCCTGCAAAAAAGAGAGATTTCATGTAGGCTAGTTCCTTTCATAAATAGGAGTATCTTGGTAGATACCCTGCAGTCCTATCCCCAGCGCTTACCTTGTTCTTCTGTACCCCCCTCTTAGACTTTACCCTCTGATCTACCCTAACCCGCCCCTCTCCCTCTCCAGACAAGCAGACACTAACATGTAATTATGTGAACATATTTTATTTTTAATTAAAGTCGTTGGGGAGACTTTCCCCCACTGTCCATAGTCCCCAAAAAGATGGTATTTTTATATATGACATTTTTTATTATTAAGAGATGGCATTTTTTGTTTGTTAAGTGATGGCATTTTTTTATCATGGTATTTTTTTTGTTTCTCTTGTTTTCCCATGGAGCTGAAATTGTACGACCAGGACAAGTTTAAATATATTTTCTAACATTGATGGTTAATTTCTGATATGGAAGGACGGCATTTTTCATCAATTCAGAGTATCACATTTTTTATTATGGGAGCACCTGGAACTCATCTAGCTGAGACATACTATGGTCTCATTCATGGATGATGTCAGCCTGTTCTAGTGCCTTTGTTTCTCGCTCCCCTATGATCTGGTTGTCTTCCTTTTTTGTGTGTGGCTGGCCTGTGCTTTTTCTTGATTTTTGTTGGGCCGGACTTGCCCTAGCCATTTCTCGTATTGTGCGGCAAGACTACTAGTAAATTTTGCCAAGACGCTTGAGCTACTAGTAGTTGCTACCGCTCGGAAAAAAAGCTAGTAGTTGCTGTTTGAAGACATGGCAGCTAGGTGGAAACTTGTAGAAAAAATATTGGTTCAAAAATTGACATCACAAACTTATTAGCCATGACATTTTCTCGATTTTCTATTATTCCATTTCACCATAATACGTTGGCAAAAATGTTGTTGCAAGTATATTAACGGAGCCATGTAGATTTACTGTTGTTCCATTACACCATAAAACATGTGATTGTCGGTTTCAAAATTGTTCACGAATATAAAAATCTCCCTGTATTAAAAAATGTTCATCAAATAAAAAATAATAAGTAAAATGTTCACCAGCATTTAAAAATCATGAAGTTGGAAGAAAACACAATTTCTCCAAAATGTTCACCTTTTTTTAAAATCATGATTAAAAATAGAAATAATAAATAAATAAAAATGAAACCCACCACCAGTTGTAGTCGCGTTGGGGCACCACCGTAGTTGTAGTGTGGGTTGCAACACTTGCAACCACCTTGGTGGCCCGTCCAGTTGTGATCCCCCCTTTGGGACATGAAATTGCGACAAAACCTAGAAGACGTGCAGTTGCGGTTCCCCCTCGGGGACATGAAATTGCGACAAACCCCTAGAAAACTTGCAGCTGTGACATGCCTTGGAAACCATGCGGTTCTGATTCTCACCCTTGGGGCTTGCAGTTGCGACAAACCTAGAAAACTTGAAGTTGTGACCTACCTTGAACAACATGCAGTTGCGACCCCGCTCCTCGAGACATGCAATTGCGACAAATCCTAGAAAACTTGGAGTTGCAACTTGCCTTGAAAAACATGCAGTTGAGATTTCCCCCTTGGGGACTTGCAATTGCAACAAACCCTAAAAAACTTGTAGTTGCGACATGCCTTGGAAACCATCAAGTTCCAAATCCCACCCTTGGGGCTTGCAGTTGTGACCTACCTTGAACAACATGCAGTTGCGATTCCTCCCTTGGGGGCATGCATTTGCAAAAAACTGTAGGAAACTTGCAGTTGCAACATGACTTGGAAACAGAGCAGTCCCGATTCACACCTCTTGGGGGCTTGTAGTTGCGACAAACCTAGAAAACTTGTAGTTTCGACCTACCTTAAAAAACTTGCTGTTGCGACCCCCCTCCTCTTCGGGAGATGCAATTGCGACAAATCCTAGAAAACTTGCAGTTGCAACTTGCCTTGAATAACATGCAGTTGCGATTTCCCCTTGGGGACATGCAATTGCAGCAAACCCTAAAAACACTTGTAGCCGCAACATGCCTTGGAGATCGTCAAGTTTGAAATCCCACGCATGGGGCTTGCAGTTGTGACCTACCTTGAAAAACATGCGGTTGTAATTCCTCCCTTAGGGACATGTAGTTGCAACAAAACCATAGAAAACTTGCAGTTGCGACATGACTTGGAAACAGTGCAGTCCCGGTTCACACCTCTTGGGGGCTTGCAGTTGCGACAACGCCTAGAAACTTGCGATTGCAATCTGGAAAAAAGTGCATTTGTGATTCTCCTTGGGGACATGCAGTTGCGACCTGCCTTAAAAAACATGCACTTGCGATTCCCCATTTGAAAGGCCTTTGGAAACATGTAGTTGCGGTTCCCCCTTCGGGACATGCAATTGTGCCCCCCCCCCCTTGAGATCTTCAAAGTTGTGACCCCCTCTCAAAAGAACTTGCGGTTGTGAGCCCCTCAAAAAACACTTGTAGTGGCATCCTCGAGCATGTCATTTTATACCATTTATTTTTTCTAAAAAGGAAAGAAAAACATGACACAAAAAAGGAATTGAAAACAAGAGAAAAACTTGAAAAAATAAAAAATAAAACATTATGCAAATTGTGATCGACGTTGGAAAAACATGGGAGTTGTGCCATGCCTTGGAAAATCAACGATCTCCCCCCTCTCAGCTCTCACTCTCTTTGCACACTCTAGTCTCTGGGGAGACGATCAGAAAACGTCAGTAGGGAAGTGGGGATATGAACAACGGTAAGCAGGCTTGAGATAACAGGCCACTGTCGCGCTGTAAACGTCAACTGTCGAAAATGGATTAAAAAAACAAAAGAAAACAGCCCACGACAGATAAAAAGCAAACGAGGACTGAATACCACCGGGACAACCTTGCCAGGTAGGAAAGCACGAACCCCTAAAAAAGTAAGGAAAGCACAAATAGTGACAGGAAAAAACATCCAACGGATGATACAATGAATGCTGGCAAACTATAACTGTGCTAGCAAAACCGATAAAGAAACAAAAATAATATTTTAAAAAAATAAAGCTGAAAATGGAAAACAAAAAAGCAAAAATAAAAAGGCAAATAAAAGAAAACACTGAGAAAAAAACAAATGAGAAAAGGCGAACATGGCCCGATACACATCTTCTATATCTAAATAGCTAGCCCCCACTAACTATTTCTCTCAACATGCAAGCATGCCACATCATCCCATAGCATGCATGAGAAAAGGCCCACCTCCACTATCATATGTCTCCCAACATGCAAGCATGTCACTTCATCATTAAACATGCATGAAAAA